CCGATCCATCCACGTCTGCATTCACATTTAAATGACTGGCCGTCTGATCCTGTGCGAAGGCAAGTAGCATTTGGATGACAGTTATTCTCACCAGTTGCGCACCTTCCTTCCTTTATAATTGTGTCCAGGGCAGTTATCTTATCTGCTTTGTCTTCATTAGCCTTTTTGAGGTTTTCAGAAGCGCGTAGGGCGTCTTGTCGATCTGCGTCTCGCTTTCTTTCCTTCAACTTCTCGTCATATCTTGCCCTTTTGAGCTCCCTCTCTTTCGATCTAACACGTGTTTGCTGATCGCTTGCATCTTTCTGTAACTGTCTTTTTCTTCTTTCGTTATTTCTTTTTTCCTCAGACAGAGCATCCCGGCGGTGGATTGAACGTTTACCACCAAACAATCCACTTAAGGATTTTATGGCTTTTCCTGCCAAGTTTCGAAGCCCTCGGGCTATCTCAAATGCTATTTGGTCGACTATTTTAGCGATTCTATTGACCACGGCTGTCAATTCCTTCGATACATTTTGAAAAATTCGCTTTGCTTCTTGCACAGCACTGTCGAGGCGTATGACTTTTGCTACAGCTCCCGCTAAATCCTTTCCCGCTTCGATAAGTATTCTGCCTGCTTTCTCTGCCACCTTCGAAGCATGTTGAACTGTTTTCCTAACAGTCTCTACGGCCTTCTGAGCCGTTTCTCTTGTCAATTTTGCTGCTTCCGCGACAGCTTTAGTGGCATATTCTGCAGTCTCGGCTAACGCCTTTTCTGTATCGACAAGGTTATTAAAGAAACTTCCGAGGTCTTTCACAAAATGTACTCCAAGTTTGAATCCTCTAGCTAACAGGTCTTTTACCAGCTCTCCAGCATTACCAGCGAAGTTTAACAGTCCTTTCGCGAGTGAACCCAACAACTGACCAGGATTTTTTAGAAACAGATCTTTAATCAGGGAAGGGGCTTCTTTCTTGACAAAGTCAATAACATGTGATGATATTCTATTAGGGGTGGCCTGTTCTGAGTTGAAAGTTAACAACGGAAGCTGAATGTTGGTTTCCATAAACGAAAATGACACTCTCATCGAACTTTTACCAGGAGCTGAAATCTTCAAGTCGCAGTTAAAGCGAGTACTCAAAACAATTCTTCCCACTTCCTTTCCCAAAACTTCAATTTTGCCGATGTCAATTCGTAGACGAACTTCAATATTTACCTGGGCTCTAACGCTTAAGGATAATCCGCGTCTAATAAGTTCAATATTTATTCTAGATCCCATGAACAGAGCTTTGGCCCGTGTAACTGATCTTGACGGAGAATCCATTATATAAAGTCGGGAATCGAGCAATTTCACCCCTAGGAGCTTGACATCAACATTTGCATCTAGAACAAACACAAGGCCAGGACCAAATGCAGCTTTGACCGATCCACCGAATTGAAGGACACCCGGAAAATTGAATATCAACTGTCCAACAACAGTTATCGTGTCTTTGGTTATGTTCATCTCACCAACCAAAAGAGGCTCATCAGCTAGCTTTACTTGGCCTTTTGCGGAGATTGCCAGTGGATTAGGCGAATTCTCGAGCTTGATATTTGCCTTGGCATTAAGACTTATTTCAACCAGATTCGTTATACCACCATCCAGTCGTATGGAGACGCCAGCATTACCAAAATTCTTCACTCGAAACGCCACCTCAGTGGAAAGAAGGGGTAGATCAGAAAAAGCTATCAGTAAAGCATCGTCTCCAGTTTCCGTTACAGGATATGGCCAGATATTTTTGTTCTTCTTTAGCTCGTTTGGTGAAGAGACTGCAAATTTCAACACAGGCCATCTGAAAGGACCAATGTTAAAAGAAACGTCCAAAACGCGATATCTGAGCGGAACGATCTGCAATAACCATTTAGGCTCGAACGTTTTCATAAAGTTCATCCAACCAATGAGAAACATCTTACCATCTATTGGAGGGACGTTCAAGCTAGTCTTGTTGCCACCTGTATACTTCGGCAACTGGAGCATAGTCTTATCATTGTTGTGCGACAGTTTCAAAACAAGTAAAGTACTGTTAGCAGTTTTAAAATCGTCCAAAGATAGTAAATAGTTTCTATCTGTATAATACCTCAAAAGGCCAACGAGAAGGGAGGCAATTGTTCCAAAGTCTTTGAATTGAGGTCTTCTATGATATATTCTTGCTTGGGCTTTAACATCAGTAAGAGTCGCGTAGCTGACGGAAAGTGGTGCTGCAAAAATCGGAATCGGCCAAACACCTTTGATGATAAAGAAGCAGTCTTTGCAGATTATGCGTGTTTCCATTTCACCTGCGTCTATAAGTAAAGGATTATCCTTTAGAAGACGCGACAGGAGTATTACATACTTCAGATCCCAGAGGTACACTTCAGCATCGATGTCCACAAAGGGCACCCCAAAGGCGGAACCAATTGTGAATCGACTTAACGACATGGCTGCCAAATCACTTGTCAGTGTTATTGGCGTTACCACATCCACTGACTCTCCATTTTGAACGTGTAGACTAAACGTCAGTGGGCCGTTCTGAGCGACTGATAAGACTACGGTTATTTCTTTCGGGAATTTTGGACTTCTGAATCTGTCCATGCCTCTTGGTAGGTTGTCAATGTTACACCCAATCCTATTTAAGGAGCCGGTGATATCGGGAGGAGGCCACACTGGAATGTTCTGTCTCAGTAGGTTAGAAAGGAAAGGGATCTTTTTAAAGAATTGTTGCATAATAGGCAGCGTCAGTGGAATGCACAATTTGTCTAAGCCCTGAGCATTAATAATAGCCGAAAAGCCATCCTTGGAATATGCAAAGGAAGGGAGTTTCAGCCTCACGTAGGAATCCTTCTGACAGAGCCAAGTAAAATCGCAGATGTACTCTTCGCCTTCCGCTTTCTTGCAAGGTATTAGCTTGTCCAGAATTGGCACGGTCTTGAGCTTGATCGCCATTCCTGTCTTTTTTGTTATAGAGACAACCATTTGTAATCTGTCCTTGAACACTTTGAAAGGAAGCAGCGTATTAAGCGCATCAAATCCCGTAACATCTAAGGATATTTCAAGGTCAGCTTCTCGTGGTGTGGCAAACAGAAGTTTTGGATCCAAAAACTTCACTGTTAAGTGACAATCTATCCCAGCAAGTTTTAGATCTATCCTGATGTCTAGGAACTTTTCTTTTAGCGTAACTATGGCCAAACGTGACGTCACGGTAATCAATCCGTGCAAATCACTGAAATGTTTTTCCAATGGTATTCCTTTAAAAGACGCCGTGATGTCTGCAGTAAGCTTCCAATCCTTGTTTTGCTTTAAGCTGAGAACCAAGTTTCGAACAGCAAGGTTTGCTTTAAATATATTGGACGGATCAGCCAGTGGTAGAGGAAAACCAAAACCGATATCGAAATCGTGAAGATCACATCGAATATTTGCATTGAGAACATTGAATTGGGGTTTGTTGAACGTTATGTTCAAGCTATTTAAAGTCACTGTTTTAAAGCTGAAGAACTCGACTGGAACAACTTTCAACAGTTGCTCGCCACCAATTAGAGTTGCCAAGTCGTATATATTTAAAGCCTGCTCTGCAAGGTTTGCTATTTCTAACAGTACAAAATCCTTGTGCACAGAAAGAACTGTGGGAAGAACCACTTTGCCAAGCTGTATCTCGACATAAATCGTAGGTATGACAGTTTTCTTGGCAGCATGAAAGGGATTCTTTATAAACAGGCTGACTCGAATGTGTCGAATAGTTACTCCCAATGGAAGCCAGACGTCGGTGAGATTTGCTTCGAACACACACGTTATGTTAAATATATGAAATCGTGGCTTAGGCGTGAAAGAAGCTTTGAAGCTGTTCAGGACAAATTTCTCTGCTTTTGACAGAATCTGATCCGGAAATAGCGACTTTAAATCAAAACCACCTCCTGTCAAACCAACAATATTTGCCGCTGATAGCTGATTAACGTGATCTGGGAAGATGTTAAGTTCCCAAGCTTGGGACGAGACGTGTGGCATTGTAAGGAATCCTCGAGTCTGAATTACGTCAGCTCCATTTCCAAGCGTGATAAGACATGCTAATCTTCCAGCTACACTTACTTGAATGGCTGTCTCTACGCTTAGGTCAGCGGCTATGTTTTCAATCCTCAACCAGTTTTTGAGAAGAGTTATTTGGTCTTTAAGAGAAAACCTCAAAGTAAAGCCTTGTATCAGCAGTTTTTGCAAAGGAGGTACTAATCGTAAGTTTAAGAACTCTAGCGAAATCTTTAGTTTATCAAATGCAGGCGGAAATAAGTTCTGTAATCTGAACCCACCAATCAGCAGCTGGCCTAATTCTGTCATTGTTATGAGTGGAAATCTCGGGAATCCCATCACCATTTCAGCTACATGTGGTAAAGCTGCTGGGAAGGGGATATGGAAAGACACAGGGTGGGCCTTCAGGTAAAACATCCCAAATAGAGTTGCTTGAATGTTTTCCTTAAAGTTTAGATGCACCGTAATATTTTGAAGTGTCAGTGGAAAGCCTTTAAGGTTCCAGTGTCTTAGGGCAGTTGCTGTTAAGTTTAATGCAATCATACGTGCCGAGAGAGGTTTGAAATGTGCTTCCAACGGCCACATTTGCACGTCTCCAATGAAGTCTGAAATTGGTGATAGCAGGTCAGACGGAATTAATTTTCCTACCATCGGCAGAACGGTAATCTTGGAGAGGTTAAAAATAACTGCACTCCTCAGCTTCAAAGCAATTACAGATCTGACGGAGACGGGTATGTTGCATTCAATTGGAAGTACGAGATTCTGCTCGTTGTCCGAAAGTTCGAGATTGCCAGTTATACCAAGCGTGTACGAAGGTATGTCGTTAAGATCTTTAACACGGAGGCTCATGGTAGGGGCTACAATCGAACAGCAAGACTTGAAAAAAGACCAAGCATTTGATATCTGTACTTCGAAAGTAAACGAATGCAAGGATTTCAAATTTTTGGAGAGCTGCACTTCTGCCAACTTTATCACGGACGCATCTATTATATTCAAGTCAAGAAGACTGGCGTCTGGTACATTCTTTATTTGTGGAATCATCTTTTCCAAAGCATCCTTTACTAGCAGTTGAAGTTCAAAGATTTTCATGGGCTTTACGAGTCGAAATAGGTGTCCATCAGATGAACTTCTTAGTTCTAGATCAAAGTTACTGGTACCTAAGGAGAGGACTCCTCTTAGGTTAAACGATCGTGTTGTCATAACGGCTGTGACATTCGAAATAACGAGGGCTCCAATTCCTCCCAGGTCCCACGATGTGCTGCACACAGCGTCAAACTCTGTGATTTCGAATGTCGTCAACATCTCGTCAAAGGAAATTTCTAGCCTTTGAAGAATCAGCTCTGGAAGAAATGGCCCAAGCATCGTTGGAAATTTACTTTTCACGGCAGCCGTCAAAATTCCAGTGAGTTGCTGGAATGGAATTCGAGGGCTTTCAAGTTCTGGGAGCCTAATGGTTAGGTTTTGGTTCTTCGATAAAGGGACAGCCATTTCAAAAGGAATGTGCGCCCTGTCTTCTACCAAAACGACCCTTCCTCTAACAAACATGATGAAGGACCTTTCAATGTTGACATCGATAAAAAATGACACGTTTTCGACGGCAAAAAAGTCATTAAGAAGATCCCACGAATACTTTGGAAGAGCAGCCATAAATGTTACCTTCGTAATTGAAAGATCATCAGACAAATGGAAGAAAGCTTTTTTAAGAGAAAATGAGGGTACAATTGAAAGTTTTGTTCTTCTTAGCGCGGTTAAGGTTTCTTGGAGTGTTTCACTAGCACTGCCGAAGAATGCACGATAAACTGCACTGATAAATGGCAATACACCAGACATATCCATTCTTTTAGAGAGCTCGATGATTTGACCTTGGGTCGACGGTGGCCATTCAATTTGGCAAGGCAGGCTGAAGTTTGCAATAGTTATTGCACCAGTTACCAGGGTCCGATCAAACGTGTAAAACACTGTCATGCTTCCGATATAAAAGAATGGAAACTTCCACTTCGTTGTGGATGGTATTTCTATTCGAAACTCTGTCAACGAGAAAGGGCCTGTTAAATTGAAAGGAATCCGCAACTTCAACTTTGTGACCACAAAGTCTGTCAGCAGAGTTCTCAAGAAAAGGGGGAAACTACTACTTAACCCTCCAAGTTTTGAAATGTTGGCGAAATCAGCCTTTATTGTTTTTTCAGCCTGAAGTGACAAAGATAAGGCTTCCACTTTTGTTGGAATCTCAATCACAAAGGGAAATACGAGGAATGCAGGCTGCCCGATGATAGCTGATGCGAAAAATTTTGCTTTGATTTCTACGTACTGAGGGCCAGGGAGAACAGCAACATTCACACTTAATTTCGAATCCTGCAATTCTGTCGGTGTCGATGCTCCACCGAGAATATTCCATCCTCCTGGCAATCCAACCAGTATGGCAATAGAGGCTAGCTTTAACTTTGGCCTTAAGCTGAAGTTTATTTTAAAAAGGTACAGCCGAAATTCGATAGACGAGACATTCATTTGCATGAAATTTGTGTCCGGGCGACGTTCTTCTCTTTCTTCGACACAAGAAAGAAATCCGTCAATGGAAATCGATTTATTTTCGTGCTTTACGTTTCTTACGGCTTCCAAAGTCAGGTATTGATTGGCATCCTTCAGCATAGTAACCGGTAGCTGTTGTCCGCAGATTTCAATCGTGGCTCGGAAGGAGTTTCGATTTTCACTCAGTTCCAACGTAGCATTTCTTAGAGAAACTTTGCCTAAAACTAGAAATGGTTTGGTTGAACAAGTGGTGACATTGACTATTGAGATATTGGAAAGCCCAGGAGCCACGCGTATGGAAAACTTTGGTACTTTGATGCTTTCAGAGATGTCCTCGATTGCGCTTAGAATCTTTCTATCCGTGTAAGAGGAAAGCAGTGGTACCAACGAGTTAAGGTCGACTATGGCATCTTCATCAGCGCCTCTGATTTCCAGGAAATCGTATTCATTTTCGGGAAAGACAAGTTCAATGGGTAACCCTGTGATACTGGAACTTAAAACAGCTTGATTGATCGCCGCGATAAACCCGTTGCCTGTCACTTTGAATGTAGACTGGGGTAGAAAACCTATCTGAATTCTTAGTTTTGGCTGCACGACTTTGAACTGAAATTTGTTCAAGGCGTCCCATCCAGGGATACTAAACGCCATTTCCATCGATGACAGGTTTCCGTCATCGAAGGATAGAATGAGAATTTCAATGGAGAAACCAAAGTCTCCAACCCCAACCAGCTGAAAAGGTGGCAGTGAACCACTGACGCCTACCTGTTTAGTGAGTGTCTCGGCAAAGCCACAGATGTCAGGGACTGGGAAACTCTTGTGGCGTCGCATTTGTATGGTACCATTTCTGTTTAAAGGCCATGGAAACTGGATAGAGATGTTTAGAGTTCCAATTGTTACGTCTGCATGGTATAACCCAGAGCTATCGTTCCAAATGCTGACAAGCTTGATGTTTGCTTTACGCAAGGCCTCCTCGACATTCCAAATTGAGGAGAACTGATTGTTGTTATGTGAATAACAGCCAGTAATGGACAAGAACTGCAAAAGAAAGAAACATTTTCTATCAATCTAAGGAACCTCTAGCGTGCCTTGGAAATCAGGAACTAATCAAACAAGCCCTTAATATTTCGTATAGTGTGATCGTCCGGGTGAGGGTAGTTCTGAAAAGAACTGTTGTTGGTGACTGACGTTTCGACAACCTGAGCGGAAGTCACCTTCAGAATCAAGTGAATAGTGTTTGTCAGTCGATGACTGGGGCTCTGCTCAGTGCTTAACCTACAGTACAAACTATTTTCAACGATTGAATCTGGAAAGCTGGTACACTAACCTAGAACAAACGCCTCTTAACAGATGTCAACAACTACCGGTGCCTTACAAACGACTTATCCACGACGGAAACGAAA